TGCATGGATCTGGAAAGAACTTCAGGAGCCTTGGTATCCAGTCCCCGTCATGGCTACCCTCTCTAAAACAGGCTCCTCACCATTCAAGTGGAAACAGGAATTCACCACTGCTTATCCCTTTAGGACCAAAAAATATCATTCTCAGTGCCCTTAGGAGTCCAGAAAGAAGGCCTATAGGACCTAGGGAGGGAAGAGGTAGAGGGAAGGTCAGAGAAGGGATAGGCCTCAAGGACAACTGATCTCCCACTTGTGTCAAACAGGTGACATGCAGAGCCTGTCAGAGTACTTCACAGTAAATACATGCAAGTGACCTCCTGTGGACTATGGCCTTGGCATTTCAACAATGTAGGGACTTTAAAGGAATCTTAGAGATTATCAAGTCTAGCCCACTGTTCTCACAACTGAGGCTCAAGGTAAAGAAGCGAAATATCTAAGGCTGTTCAAGAGTTAGGGACTGACCCACCTTCTCTACAAACACTGTAAAACCACATAAACCCCACTCCTTGGCTCCAGCTCTTGTCACTCATTAGAGCTTTAATGTCTAGGCATGGTCTTAACAGCAGGCTGATAATTAGAACCAAGGGCCAAGCTTGAACTATGGAAACAGCAGATAGACACAGTGACATTGGACAAGAACACTTCACAATGCTCCACCAGTCCGAGAATGGGGCTGCATCACCTGTGTGAGTTCTTCTGTTGCCCAGACAAGATGGCAGACACCAGGTGGCTGTTTTCTAAGAAAAGCTTCTTACCCCAAAATACCCAAGACTCATAGAACAGCATTACTGAGTTAGAAGGGAAGTTTTCTGATAGAACCCCATGAACATCAAGTGCCATGCTCCACAGAGCAGATCCTGATGACTTCCAGGGCCCCAATGTCATGCTCATAGCTGAAACCTTCCTGGATCCTCTCTTAACAGCTGCGGGAGGTGGGGCTCCCATTGTCAACTAGCTTCCCAGATACTGTGTCTACCTGGCATATTTTTGGCTTCAGGGACTTTCAAATAATGAGTAGAAATGGCTCCATAAAGTACTCAGGAAAGCTCCTCTCTGTGTGACTGGCCCCTGTGTGAAAAGTCCCCTCACTCTCCTAGGCTAACAGGTCTCACTTCCTCTCTCTCTTTTGACAGGCCCTGGTGCTTTGGGTGGGTGCCAACCCTCAGACTGTCCTCTCTTGCCCTTGTGGTTGCTGAGGTTTATCTGTCTGCACATTGGCCTTCACCACCGGGTCATGGCGCCCTGCCCTGCGGTCTTTATCACCATGGGACTGTGGGGTCCACCTCCATCCAAAAGCAGTCCTTCTCGCCAGCTTCTGCTAAGCCTGTATTTACTGGCAGTGTCTCCCCCTGGCCAGACCCTAGTGGGAAGAGGAAGAAAAAGGAAATATGGAGACTCAGAAAGGCTGGATTTCCTCTTCTAGCACAGCAGCTATTCACAGGCTCAGAGAAGAGAGCAGAGGGAGTAGAAGTCCATGAATCCAAACACAGCTGGGAGGTCTAATTTAGGCTACAACCTTGACAGAGCACAGAACACCTAAGGCAAAATCCCTGAAAGAAGGGAGCAATCATACATCAGGAGGGTGACATAGGAAAACAAACACTTTCACCAGGATGTTTTCAGTGCTTCAGAAAATAATATGGTTGGGGAAGAGAGAAGGGAAGGGGAAGGGGAAGGGGAAGGGGAGGGGGAAGGGGGAGGGGGAGGGGAGGGGAGAAAGTGCGCTTCCAAGACCACAAATGATGGGCAAAAGCAAAACCTGTGTGGAAGTCCCAGGGCTGCTGCTATCCCTCAGAAGCCCTCCCAGGGTAGGTGGCAGAGAAGAGAGTTTCTTGGAGCTGAGAAGGGCCAAAGGCCACTTGCCCCCTACTCCCTTAGATAACAAGGACAAGTTTTCTACCTTTCTAAATCTCATCCATTCACTGAAAGATCTGTGTCCCTACTGTGTACCAGGCACTGAGCTGGGGACAAGGAAGCAGACAAGGAAGACAAGGCAGACAAGGAAGGGTTGAAAGTAGTTTCCTTGCTCAGGAGTTCATTGTTGGAGGACAGGGACTCAGTCTCCCCCTTCCCCAATCCCTTCCTTTTCCAGGAGGAGAATCAGGAAGGATAGGCCACCAAAAGCAGCACCAGGGTTTTTGGAATAAAAAAAGGCAGGGTGGCCAGAGCTCAGAGAGTGGGGGAGGGGGAGGGATGAGGCTGGGAGACCCATGGTGATTCTCAGCAGGGAGGTGACAGGTGAGCTTTAAGAATGAAAGAACTGGCTGGCTGCAGAGTGGATGGGAGAACCACACTCAAGAAGGGGACAATGGTGGTTGAGTCGGGTGGTGGCAGAGAAGGTAAGAGGGGCTAGCTTCTTCCCCTGGGGGTGGGGCTGGCAACGTCCCCTCCCCACTCCCCTCCGCCTGAGGTAAGGCTTAGACTGGTGTTCCATCAGTGCAGACGCTGATGCGAGGATGAGGGGAAGTGGGGCCAGCAGGGAGCTGTGCTCTGGCTTCTGGGAGCTGGCATGGCAGAGGCCAGGAAGCCTCTGCGGTTGCTGAGTGAATAAGCTCTGAGTGCTTCTGAAAATGGCAAATCAGTGCAAAAGATAATTCAATAATCAAAATAATTAATCCTCAGGATTATGAGCAGGACGCTTGCCACTTACAGACTCTTTCATTACAATCATTTGCAGCCTCTCTGTGCCCATTCCAATTCCCTTTTATCTACCAGTTTATAGAGCCAGAGCTGTTAACAGGGTGACAGCTGAGGCCACTTATGGATAAAGCACCTCCTAAGTGAGACTTGAGACAAAGGGGGGGCACCTGAGGCCGGGGGACTTCCTCTCAGAATAGCTGATTTGAACCTCTGATTCCTGAGTTTAACAAAGTAAATTTTAATGTAGAAATTCACATTCAGCTCATTCTCGGGCGCTGATTGAAGAGGCAAAAGAGGGAAGGTACATGTTCCTATTATAAATGTGTTCCTCGAACCCTACAGTTTCCCCACTTACAGTCTTACTGATTCCTCCTTTTCTTGTCACTTTCAGGAGCACTGATCTAGCCCAAACAGTCATTCTATAATATTTACTAAATACCCCACTACATACAAATCTGTGTGCCAGGACTAGGGGAGCACAGTCAAAGTGGCTTCTAAGAACAAAGAAATAGCAGAAGGTACTGCTATCCTCATTGAAAGATCAACTCTCAACCAGAAGAGAAGGTTGCTAAGCACTTCTGTGCACCCGGACCTGCTTAACACACCTCCCTGCTCCCCTAACGTGCTTGTCACCCTGCAGAGTGGAAGCTTAGGATGACAGGACAAATGGGATGGGTCTACTGGGGCAGGGCGATGGGAGGCGCCTGTGTTGAGGGTGAAGTGCAACCCCCTGACTCATGGCCAGGATCCACAGTTTAGATCCTCAAGATACACTTGATCTTGCCTTGTCCCCTTTCCTTTCTATCCCTGCCCTCTTCCTGCTTTCCTCATTATGTAAAATAGATGCTTGTCCTGCAACATTATTTTAAGATTTAAAGACGTAATTTTTTTTTTTACAGATCCCCCCACAGGGCTTATTGTTTACAGACATTCAAAAACTGGCAGTTGTCACTACTGTTCTTATCACTACTGCTGTCCAGCTGCCTCCTCTCCTCTTGGTGGCTTCATCCATGCCCTTCTGCCTCTGCCTCCTACCTGAGGGCTTCCTCTTCCCGCCCTCTCTGCAAAGTAATCACAAATACTTCCTTCAATCCCACTCAAGGCTCTGTGTCTTCAGAACACCAACCTTGACAGACTGGACGTGCCTGACCCCCGCAGACCCTACATCCTAAACACAGTTCAGGTTCCCTTTTGCACTTGCTTCTAGGTACCCTTAGATTTTTCCAGATAATATGAGGGACAGCTAACTGATGGTTTTGTATAGATATGCCTTGCTTTTACAGTAAGACTAAAGTTTCCATAGCTGATGAATGGGCCCCACTCTATTTGTACCCCTCCCCACCTTGCTACAAGGAGTGCTGTGCCCCTAGATATACCACACACACTTTGTCACATTTCAAATATTAAGTGGATAAAATTGCCCAAGTAATTTTCCCAATTCAAATTTAAGCATTTAAACGGAATTGGAAGACTGTGAATAAGCAATGATTTTATCTGTTTAGAGGCCCCCAAAGCAATTTTTTAGTTTCATAATTCCTCCTTCCCTACTCTCACTGCCCAATAACCATCCTGTTTCTTCCCTCCCTCCTTATCCCCTCTTTAGTCCCCCCTTTCATTCCATCCCACTTACACAAGGAGAGACTCCACCTCCCAGGCCTGTCCACTTCACTCCCTCCCCCCTGCAGCCACCATCACTTCACCATACAACAACCTGTTCTTCTGCCTCCCTCCCCCACTTCCTCCTAACCACAGAGCCCCCATACCTCTACCCAGTAAGAATCTCAGTGGTTCCCACCATCCTGGGAACCACTACCCTTTCCTCCTACCTGCAGCACAGCTCCATGATTCTCCAAGCTCATAGTTAGCCCTATGGCACCCACTCCTATGCTGCTGCCCAGTCACCATCTTGCATGGCCTCTTCTTGACCTTCAGGCTCCAGGTCTATCTGAGAACTGTTCCCATCACTCCCCCAAACACTTTCCTCTGGCTCAACATGCTATGGACTTCCTTTATCACCTTTCATCATTGCTGTGCTGGTTTACTCACTCATGGTTTACATTTATCACTGGACTGTGAACTCCATGAGGGAATGGATCCTAGGTGTCTTATTTCTTATTAAATACCCAGTGTCTTATTAAGTGCTCAGTGACTGTTGAATGTATAAGGCTCCGAAACAATGAAACTCTCTTTCACAAAGTGCCCTTGTGAATGAAGAGAATTTTAGACAGCCAATCTCCACAGGTTGAGCAAGGCTCCTCTTGTTTACAGATAGTTCCTGGCACATAAACTGCTCACTTTTGTTGGTTAAATGAATGAAGGAACTGGTGGAAAAGGCAGAAGCTTAGCAGAGCTCTGTGACTTACCAGTCCTGGGGGTCTCAGCAACTCCATTAGCCTCTCTGGAACACAGATTTGAGTCAGTGAGGCTAGCCCTCAGGCTTTGGGGATGACAAGACATACAACAAACTCAGGAGTTCAATAGAGTAGACCAGTCTTCAAGGCTATAAAGATATCATGCCAAAAGGTCAGAAGCAAGCTCAGCCTTCAAACACTATGGTCAGCAGAGACAAGAAAATTAGAGTCAAGAAAAGCAACATCATTAAAATCATACCCACTGAGGCACTGAGGGGGAGTGACATGCCCTGCTTCAAAACCTTCAGGGACGATCCCAGATGACAAGGAGCAAATTCCAGGAGCTTAGGGACAAACACATGTGCAGAACAGTCACTGAAATAATGTGTATTTATCTTTATATAACAGTAAAATCACACCCTGAGGTGGATTCCTAGCATGATAATGAGATGTACCTGAAGACACATGCTAAAAAAAGCTCGGCTCAGACTTTACCTGTGCCTGTGATGACATCAGAGATGAGTCCCCACTACTGCACAGATGCCATAGAAGCTGTGCAGCTTTTCCTTCTGATGGAGTCAGCCTGCAGTTTTCTCTCCCCACACACTGGATCCCTCATGTTGGAGCATAAGGACAAAGAGACAGATGCTATGCCACTGTGCCTCTGATGGATTCTTCCAATGGAGCACAGGACCCCGAGGCAGGGATACACACTCATTGTGCACAGAAACAGAGGGAAACACGGCTCTGTCAGCCTCACAAGTGCACTGTGAGGCCCCAAGGAAAACTCTTGACAATGCCCTGAAAGAGGCAAGGTGTCATCTTCTGATCTGGACATAGCCAAGCAGTGTACTGGCAGAGTCTGTCATGGATTCTAGGAAAACCCACTTCAGTCCCTGTCCCAAGAGTAACCAGCACAGCACCCCATTCCAAAATTCAGACAGCCTCAACGAGATACACAGTCTCCCCTTAAAAAGTTTTTAAAAAGTTAAAACTTAAAACTTCGGGAGAGGGTGGGGGAGGGGGCAGGGAGGAGAAATGACCCAAATGATGTATGCACATGTGAATAAATTAATAATAAAATAAGAATAAAAATAAATAAATAAAATTTAAACTTCAAAGAAATGAGAATAAAATTGCAACATTTAATAAAAGCAATCAAAAGGAGAAAAAGTATTTTAAAAACATTTGATCATTTTTCTTGCAACTTTCAAAACCCAATGCTTCTCAGGGGATTTTTCCTTGGCGCAGCTTTTATGCTACTATGACTTTTACAAAGAAAGCTGTTACGCTTGAGTTTGTTTTATGTATCAGGCTAACATTACAATCTAAATCTCTAGGAATGTTTTAATTTTCTAAAAATTTCAGCTCTAGGTATTCTATGTGAGAAGGGCAAGAAAAAAACTAAACTGAGCAATCTGAGATTCCCTGTGAGTTTTCAGGAAGAGTTGTTAATCGGATGAGGCAGACTGTGCTCAACCAAGATTTGCCAGACATCTTAAACTATTCCAGAGGGACTCTGCAGACTTGTTTAAAACACCATGGAGCCGCTATAGTAAACAAACGAAGCATGCAGAAGGTTATCTTGTAAATCCATTAAAAGCTGAGCGACAACTCTTTCTCATGTTCACAAGACACACAGACCAGTTAATTTTATGGAAATTACATTGGTGGCATGCTGCTGTAGGTACTCCAGCTAGAATGCAAACTCCAGGAAAGGAGAGAGGTTGCCAGGGCTGGCAGATAAGCCCATACCTGCAACAGGTGAGGCCTTGAGACTTTGTATGAAGTCTCATCCACCCTCTGGACAGCCATGTTCTAGCTGCCTAAAGCAGGTAAGTACTAAATGGGATATGAGTACCATGATGACATCTTATGACCCAGGGACCTCCAGGAAAGGAAGGTCTAGGAAAATGTTCTTTTACAAAGTCATGCAACACATGGCAAATAGTTGCCTGGTGACTATTTGAGGTTTAAAAACTAAGCTCCCAAAATACCCCTAAAAAGGGCATGCTATTCAGATACCTTAAGCTCCAGATTAAACTTTGTGGCTCTGTCTGTAGGATGACAGCATGTATCAAACAGACCACACTCTCCCCTAGAACCAACACAAATTCAGGTGTTCAGGGGTTGGACCTCAAGGGAAGTTGATTTCAGCTGTCAGAGTCCCCAAGTGACTACACCCTTAAACTCCTGCTGGAGTTCAAGTCCAGTTGGAGCTGACTCTATGGATCCCTGCCAGAGAGTCCCCGGCTTGCAGCCTAACCACAGTGGGCAGAGAAGATCCATACACCTCTTCTTCAAAGTCAAACCTCCTCTACACACTCACTGTCTGCCAGATTGAAGAAAATCACTGCCAGTCACAAAACTGCTTGCCTAGGTTCTGCCTGCTTCCTTCAGTTCCTGCCTGGCTTTTGGACCCTGTCTAATAACTACAATATCAATAAAAGCTCTGACTCCACACTTCACACTGAAGTCTGTTATCCAGACTATGCTACCGGATAGCAGTCGACATAGAAAGAGGTAAAATGCTCTCATCTGGGGCTCAGTCCCAGCTCCACCTTTACAAGCTGTGAGACCTAGGTGAGTCATATTAGGGATATTAATCATTCCATCCAATAGGGCTGCTATGAGGAATCCAGGGCTCAATGCTCATCAGGGCATAGAGGAAAGGCTCAATATTCATTCCAAGTTGATACTGCTTTTTCCCTTTATTTTGGACTTTCTGTAATCCTTCAAAGTTTACAAAGAAACTGAGGTCCAAGGCCACGAGAAAGGATAATGGATAAGAGACACAGACCAGGCTTGTAGAATTCCAAAATCTACCCAGGTCTCTCCAAGGTCATGCCAGAGTCAAGCCCACCCCTTGAAGAACTGGCTGGCAGACCCAGTCTCATTGCTGTTTCCCTTTTTGACTTCTCTATCCAAGAGGGTCTCCCTCATGCCTGAAATTCTTCTGAGATCCACCCTATTGCCTCCAGGATGATACTCATGCTCCTTGGCAAGGCAGTCCAGTCAGGGTCCAAGGGAAGTTTCTGTATCCCCTATCCTTTGAGGAGTGAACAGAGAAAGAGTTCAAGGTTTGATTACAAAGAGTCAAGATTAAGTTTTACTCTTTAAATAATTAATTACGTGTCCTTCTAGGAGCCACTTAACCTTTCTAAGTCTCAGCATCTTTGCTTGCAAAATGACACTAACATTTACGAATTATTTAACTTGGTTGAGGTGTGCTGTAAGTAGCAACCACTGTTATAACAGCCATCTTCAGGCTACATCCTACCATTCTCCCATGGACTCCTCACCATGATATGAGCGAGGTCCCATTCCAGCACACCTCACTTTCTCCTGTTGTCTGCCCTTTATCCACCCTGTTCCCTAGGTCTCTCCCATTCTCTCTGTGCCTGTTCTGCTCTACTTCCCTTTCTGGCAAATAACAGTTCTCTTTGGAGATCCCTTCTGCATGACCTGCTCTAGAAAGGAGCTCCCTCCAACTCCCTGGAAGTCCACAGAACATGGGCAGAGCATGGATGGCTACTGGAGATTGATTATGTCACCCCATTCCATAGGTCATTTTTGCTTCTATTCCCCCCGCCCCCAACCATGCTATATTCCTAGAGAGTGCGATTGACATCTCCTGCCTCTGCCTTGTTCCTAGCACCTTGCAGATGCCCATTATGTATTTGTTGGTGTGAGAATGCAAATATACATAAATGACTCAAGAGCCAACTTGGAACAAAGAAGTGCCCAGAGAAACAAGGATCCTAATTGGAGCGTTCTAGAGCTAGAATGATTATTTTCACTCATCATTTTATATGAAGGCTGTCACCCAGAGATCTGCTGGGTGTTCAGGAGAAGGGAAGCAGATGCCTTGCTTGGCATGTTCAGTGGAATCGCAACACAAGTAATGGCTGGGCATTTGCTGTGGGGCTCAGCTCAGGGGATAAGCTTAGTGGTCTGATGAGCTAGGCCAGTATGATAACACTTATGCTTCAGTCTTGTTTCTCTGAACAGTCGCCAAGAACACACTGGTGACAGTCACAAAGAGTCCCAGGTCATTTGGTCAACTAACCACATCAAACAATAACCACCACTGGGTGCAACATGAACACGTCACCTCATTTCTCAAGTGCCGAAATGGAAGGAGACACAGAGGACACCAGCTTGAGAAACACACCCACAGAGATTTTTGCCTTTCAAGGCAAAAAAAAAAAAAGAAAGAAAAAATAGGGGAGATACAGGCTTGGATTCTTCATTGTAATTTTTAAAAAGATTTAACTTTTTAAGATTCAGTCACTGAAGCTCTGCATATCTTTGCCAGAGACACAAAAAATGAATGTGGGAGAACCTTGTGTTTCAAGACAGGACAGCCATAAAATGAGTGAAAAAACAAAAGCAAAATCCCAACCACATGAGCAAATGTAAAAATCTAAAGAAATAACATATTGGCTAAGGTTCAGAAATGAAATTTTTTAATAAAAAGAAAGGTACCAGCAGGACAATGGAAATTATATTCCAAACTTTCTTGCTCCTATACTTCCTCATGGAAACCTCACAAACAAAACTGTCTTCTTGGGGTGAGTCTGGGCCTTTGGCTAAAGAGTGAAGAAGGTGGATGGCTTCATTCCTGCTGATACTCCAGGCACCACAGAACCTCACCTAGGCCTAACCCTCCCAACAGTACTACAGAAGCTCATTATTGGCCAGGAGTTAAGGCCTTGAGTTCACATCCAGGTCCAAAAGTCTATGAACCCAACATCTACATTACTTTAAAATGAGCCAAATATTTCCACTTATCTCAGCTTTACAATCTAGAATTAAGATGTAGTAAGCAATTTTCAAAAGGAGGGTTTTGGATCACAATTTTGTGTGCATCCTATAATCATTTAAAACCTTCCTATTTTCATTGTACAGAAAGATTTGGGCAGATTACAGATTGAAATAAAGAGAGGACCAAGCTATGCATTGTAAAGTCCTTCAAAACAAAAAAGCCTGACCTCTTCCTTACAAGCAACACACGCATGTGCACACTTACAGATGCTAAATGGGGTGCAAAAAAGCCTTTTCCCACATTCAAATTTCCTTAACCACTTTTCTTATATGTCATTTGGGAAGGAACAATAAAAACTGCCACTATAGCAGAGGGATTCTAGGAATTAGCTAGTAGTGACCATGAAATGCTTTGACGGGTGGGACTGTGTCTCAGCTAAGGTCAATCATTGTTATTATTACTGTAAGCCTACATTCACTTTGACATTTTCCCACTGTGATTTCACACAAAAGAAAGCAAGTTGCCAGTTCTGGAGGGAGAAAAAAAAAGTTGAAGAACAGATTTTATCCATATTTA